GGTTCATGTAGAGCGGGGTTTAGGGTGCAGGGTTTAGGGTTTAGGGTTTGGGGTTAAGGCTCAGGGTGTGTGTTCAACGTGCAGGGTCCTGAGTTGAAGGGATACCTTGAACTTCGAGGCTGCAGGACTTGTAGGATCTCTGCGGGGAGTTCTTGAAAGCCTTATGCTAAGAGCATCTAGCGTAGGAAGACTTTCAGAGGCTGCAAGATTTCCTAGGCTTACGAAATTGAGGAGCTGGGTTTCCCAAACCCTAAACCCCCAAACCTAAACCCTAAACCCTAACCCTTAAAGAAGAGGGAGGATTAGGCTTGAGGGTTTAGCATGCGATATCACTTTTCGCATTTCCAGCCGGTTCCCAAGTTGAGGGCGCTGGCATTATTTGTTTCTTATTATTATTATTGATATCATTCTTACTATGATTCTTATTCTTACTATTACTAATTTTTATTGCTGTGGTGATTTCTAATTTTTGCTTGCTAGTTTATCATGATTGTTTGGTGACTTTAAGGGCTAAACCATCGGGTTCAGGAGTTCAGGAGTTCGGGCTTAGGTATCAAAATAGCCCTGCCCCCCTGCAAGCCTTTGGGCTTCGGGCTTCTCTTAGGGTAGCTACATGGGTCCCTTAATGTGGGCCCCCTTATCTACTAATTGCTTAAGAACCCCAAAAGAAAACAACCAAAATCACACCTAATAAGGAAGATGATGTTTTAGTTGTTCGCGGTTCTTGAGCAATTACTAGTTATTGGGGACTTCTAATTTTCCCCTGTCAAGCCCAATCCATACCTCAAGACCCTTCAAAGAAGGCAGGGGACCAGGCGCAGGGACCATGTGTGACTTGAGATGTTCCCCCTGATACGAACAATCCTTAATGGGATTAGAGTACCCGCTAATATAATCCCTAATAAAGAAAATCCCCATATGAAGAACGGTTAGTACAACGGAAAGCATCCGAACATGTAACCCTGAGGGAAAGAGTTTGGGGATTGCGGCGTAGGGCAGCTGGCGTAGCCGGCTCAACACCCCGATGGGCCTCAAAGCCCCTGTAAGCCCTTGAGCTCGGAGGGGTTTACTGTAGGGCTGAGGGGTTGAGGGTTGAGGGTTGGGGCTTGAGGGTTGAGGGTTTAGGGTTTAGGGTTTAGGGTTTAGGGTTTAGGGTTTAGGGTTTAGGTGTGAAGCCGAGGAACAACATCGCCCCAGACAATGCCCTGGAGCGATTCTTTGCAGTCATCGCCTGCCGGCTTGTACACGGTTTCAGGGTGTTCAGGGTTCAGGGTTTAGGATTTGTGGTTCGAGCAAACTTTGTTAAGCCCGCAGGGTTGCTCTTCAAGGCTCAAAATTGTAGAGTTTAGGGTAACGCTGCAAGGGTGTAAATGGTTTTGGGCGCCAAAGGAAACCCTAAATCTAAAGGGGCTACCGCCCACAGCCGGGCACGCCGCGTGCCGACCAGGGCAGCCCCCCACCCTCGCCCCCAAGGGTCCCGCTGATGCTGCTGACGCGCGCCAGAAGAAACGAAGCCTCGATGATGCGCATCCTTGCCGTGCTACCGGCCGCGCATCATGAGCATCAGCGGCTCCGGCCTCCAAGCATTAGTGGCTTGTGGGAACATATGGCGGCTTGAAACCGGAAATGTCCATAACAGCACGTAACACCACGGTATTTTACAGCGTTTTCTGCGTTTTCGAAGCTGACAGCTGCTCCGAAACCCGAGGCTCGACCCGCTGATGCTCACGATGCGGGCTCTTTTTTGCGGTCCTGGAAGGTGGCCGGTACCCCCGAAAAACATCAACAAGGCGTCCTCGGCAAAAGTTTAAAATCATTCCCGCCCCCCCTCCAAATCGGGTGATCTCTCGCGTTAGCTGATCATCCACCTCCCACACGGGAAACGGGGACGGTGCTCACGGTGCTCATGCGAGCTCCTTCGTAAGTCCGCAGCGCAGGTCGGCAGCAGATACGCCTGGGGTGTGGGTAAGCATGATCCCGTGGCATGTGCTGACGCATTACCGAAAAAAAAAACGCCTGGCCGCCCCTGGGCGCTTCCTGTGCAGCTGGGGGCCTGTAGTTTTTTTTCTGCGCACCTTTTTCCAACGTCCCAGGCGAAGCGGTCCCAGTGCACACCTAGTGGCCTAGGGCATACGGCTTGAGAGGGGCGGGGATTGGGCGGAGTCAGCGAGGATGTCGCTGGGCAACGGGGCCTCGCCATCAACATTGGCCGTGCCGGAAAGAGGCAAGGCGAGGAGGCTAGCTGCGAAGGCGCGGGCGGCAGCGAATGACAGCAAGGCCGACCAGCGGGAGGCATAGGCGGAAATGCCGGCCCCACGGGAGGAGGCGGGGAGGGGTGGAGCGCGGGCGCGCGCAAGAAGGCGGATGAAGGTCGCGGCCTCGGCGCTCCAACGGCCTCCGAGCTCGAGGGCGAGGACGACAATCTTGCACCTGGCAGACTGCTGGAGCTCAGGGTAGGTGCGTTCCTTCGCCTTGCGCGCATGTGAAAGCGCAGCCCCTGCTGTGCGCTATTGGATCTGCTTGCAAGTCCAGCCTTTTCCATGCAAATTTTGACCTGTTCCGGATCGACGGTTGATGTTGTGCACTCGCTTGGTCCTCCTCCATTCCATATTGACCCCCAAGCTCCAGGCCAGCCGGTTCTGTTGGAACGTCAACGCCTAAAGATTGCTTGCTTCGAGCCTCTTGCGCAGCACGAGCATATTTGTCAAAGAAGGAACCTCTGGGTACACTGTGCCGCCGGAAGTAGCGTCGCGATGCTTCCACTCGGCAGATGGCAGCAAGGAGCACCTTGCCTGCAGGTGATAGCAGCATTAGCATTGCTTTTTGTGTTCCATGTGGTTTTTGCTGAACTATTTATTCAGGGAAGGCGGCATTTTAGCGCACGTTCTCGATCATGTCAGCAGCCTCCGCATTGGTCAAGCCAAAATCCAAGGGCTCCATCTGGCTGGCAAGCGAAGACACCAGAAGATGTTCGCTTCGCTGTCCTCCGGTCAACAGATTTATGTAAACCGTCACCCTAGTCCAACCTGCAGTCCTTGACTCCTAACAGCTGGGTGGAACTCGGCTCAGCTCAGGCCGAAATCTCTGAGTCCACGATATCAGCTTTGGGGGACTGGGGGACTCCATGGCCCCCCCCAAAGACTGGACGGGAGACCCGACGCTGCGACTCAGGCTTTGGATATGAGCTTTGTGCGACAAAATTTCAAAAGTATTGCCATCGTCCTGGGAGTATGGCCTAAGTAGCAGAGTGAAGCATCACAGCAGCATCATCAGAGATCAGTGTCATCACCAAAACCAGCCCTTAAAGCACAAAAGCTTTTGAAGTGCTTTGTGCGCAGCACGCTTGTAGCATGTGTTAACAGGCTTGGGGACATCCTTATCTACCGGAGTGCCGGTAGAAAGGAAGTATACCCCGTGTCTGCCACCTACTTTCGGGAGCACTACGAGGAGCGAGTCCACATCTATGCACTCACTCACCTGCATAGACATGTCAATGGCCAACGTAAGAACATTCTGGCATGGTTCACAACCAACTTGTTTGCAGTTTGCCGTAGTTGGCTCCACTATCTGAAGCCATAGCACTGGATTGTACTCAGAGTTGTCATAAACAAAACAGCTCAACCCGACATGTTGACATGCATATAATCACCACAAATCGTCCTCCGTGATCATTCCTGCCTACCTGCTCCACGTCGCGGCAGCCCCCCCCCCTTCCCCCTTCCCCCCCCCTTCCCCTTCCCCCCCCCCTTCCCTCCCTTTCCCCCCCACTTCCCCCCCTTCCCCCCCCTTCCCCCCCCCCTTCCCCCCCCCTTCCCCCCCCCTTCCCCCCCCCACCCCCCCCCTTCCCCCCCCCCCCCCCCTTCCCCCCCCCTTCCCCCTCCCCCCTCCCCCTTCCCCCCCCCTTCCCCCCCCTTCCCCCCCCTCCCCCCCCCGCCTTCCCCCCCCCCCCCCCCCCCCGCTTCCCCCAGCCGAACACTGCAGGTGCATGGGCGTAAACTACTCTTCGGCTTCACAAAAACCCAAAACTATGCAGAGCTTAGGGTTTAGGGTTTGGGGTTTAGGGTTTAGGGTTTAGGGTTTGGGGTTTAGGGTTTAGGGTTTGGGGTTTATCCTTACACCGCCCTTATAAGGAAGACAAACTGATATTTGGAGGGCTTCTTCAGCAAAACCCTAAACCCTAAACCCCCCTAACCACAAAACGTCACAAAACCCTAAACCCTAAACCTAAACCCCAAACGGCAAAGCTGTCGGCCTCTGGTTCAGGGTTTAGGGCTTTGGGGTTTAGGTCTAGGGTCCGCCGACCCTGGCGGCGTGTTGGGTTTGCGGAAGTGAAACCTCCCTTTCCTTTTCCCTCCTTGCGGGGGGGGGGGGGGGGTGAAGGCCCTAAGCCGAATAGACTAGGCCTCCGGGCGTTCAGTACTAGGCCTCCGGGCGTTCGGTAAACCCCAATACCCTAAGATCATTCCTGCTCGCCATCCCTGACACCCTAACCCTATGAACTATGAGCCCTAAACCCATAAACCCTAAACCCTAAAGCCTAAACCACCCCTAAACCTTTACTCTAAAAACCCTATCAACCCTCCAAACCCTATGAACCTGACAGGCCTGAACCCTCCAAACCCTGGGACCATGGCACTTATTAACGAATTATATCTGTACTTCTGACTGCACTTAAGGGGCTTGTAAGCGGGTTATAAGTACAGTTACATTTGGTTAGTAAGTACCACGAACCTCCAAGTAAACACCCATAGGCCTTAGGCCTCTACATGAAAACCCTATAAGGCTGGGACCCAGAGAAGGCCCTGCTTCGTTTTTTTAGGGTATGGGTTCCTTCATACAACCCTCAAGCACCAAAACGGGGCGCCCTTTCTATTGGTCAGTGACTCCTGGGTCATCCTAAACCCTAAACCCCAAACCCCAAACCCCAAACCCTAAACCCTAAACCCTAAACCCTAAACCCTTGTCATTCCTAGGCTACCCCAACAAAGAACCCTCAAAAGGTCATCCTGCTGGCCATCGGCCTCTTCTCCTCGTGCATCAGCGCCATCAGCTCGGCCATGGCATCCCTGCGGACGGCGCGGAGTGAGAAGTCGCAGCACCAGGCCGCTTTGCGCCTTTTTTTATTTTATTTTCATTTTTTTTTTTGGGGGGGGTGGGGTTTATGGCTTAAGGTCTAGGGTTTAGGGTTTAGGGGTTAGGGTTTCGGGTTTCGGGCTTAGGGTTTAGGGGTTTAGGGTTTAGGGTTTAGGGTTTAGGGTTTAGGGTTTAGGGTTTAGGGTTTAGGGTTTAGGGTTTAGGGTTTAGGGTTTAGGGTTTAGGGTTTAGGGGTTCAAGGACAAACTTGCGAACTTTCGAGCTTTCGAACTTTCAAACTTTCGAACTTTAAAAGTTTGAATCCGTCGAATCTTCGAAAGTGCAAGCTTTCAAAGTCTCAAACTCTCAAACTTCGAAAGCCGATCGAGCTCGACGGCGGAAAAAGGTTTGAAGTTTGAGTTAGAAGCAGGCAGCCGAGCTCGAAAGGGTTTAGGGTTTAGGGTTTAGGGTTTAGGGTTTAGGGTTTAGGGTTTAATTAGGGTTTTTAGAGCTCTGCATGCCAAAAAGGGTTTAGGGTTTAGGGTTTAGGGTTTAGGGTTTAGGGTTTCGGGTTTGGGGTTTGGGGGTTGGGGGTTTAGGGTTTAGGGTTTAGGGTTCAGGGTTCAGGGTTTAGGGTTTGGGGGGGGGGGGGGGGCGGGAGGGGGGGGGGGCGGGGAGGGGGGGGGGGAGGGGGGGGGGGGGGGGGGGGGGGGGGGGGGGGAGGGGGGGGGGGGAGGGGGGGGGGGGGGGCGGGGGGGGGGGAGGGGGGGGGGGGGGGAGGGGGGGGGGGAGGGGGGTGCTTTTAGAGCGCACTAAAACTGGCATTGGGGTTGAGGTGCGGGATTTAGGGTTTAGGGTCTAGGGTCTAGGGCTTGGGGCTTAGGGTCTACGACGGGGGGGGGGCAGGCGAAGCTCTTCCAGTTCTTCAACGACCGCAAGCTGTCCATTGGCCTCTATGGCAAAGTCCAGGAGGTGCTGGAGAAGGCCCAGTGGCTCCAAATTGCTTCAGAACCTTTGTGGTGCTTTACTGTAACTTTACATCTTTAGCCTTTTGGGGTTTCTTGGGTTTCTTAATAAGGCAGCTAAAAAATTAAATTTATAGCTGCCCTGCTAAGAGCAGCCAAGGAACCCCCACCCTCCCAAAGAAGAAATGAAAGATCTTCCTCCTTATAAGGGTACTACTTTCGGGATTGTTTATCTTCCTTGTTTTTTGAAAGGGGTTCTTGAGCAAATCGAGTAAGTGTGGATTCAGAGGTTTGAGGGCTCAGGCGGTGAAGGCTTACTGCTCAGAGTTGTAGTGGCACCTAGGGCTTGAGGCCAAGGGTTTAGGGTTTAGGGTTTAGGGTTTAGGGTTTAGGGCTTGAGTGCTTAATGTGGTTTCATGTCTTGGGCCCAGCCCCCTCCCTTGTGCGAGTGACATACCGTACGGACACGCCCTTCAACCCTTTAAACCCTAAACCCTTTAAACCCCAAAAACCTACAAAGCCTAGGATTCTGGCATGAGCTCGCGATTTAGAATTTTGGGGCCTGGGGCTTAACATCTTTTTCAGACCCCCTAAACCCTAACCCTAATAAGCCCCAATAAGCCCCAGTAAGCCCTAAGCCTGTGGAGGATGGCCACTTTGAAGTGCGCGTGCAGGAGAAGGATGCCACTGGGCCGACAGCAGTTCGTGGGGGGTCAGAACCATTCTGAGGGTTTAGGGAGTTCAGGGATTTTGCGGCTTTTTTCGGGAGTTTTTCCGGTTTTGCGCAAACTGAGGGTTGAGGGAGCTTTGGGATTTCAGGATTTAGCATGGTGATTGCTGGGGTGTAGGGTTTAGGGTTGAGGGTTTAGGCTTAAAGGGGTTAAGGGCTAGAGATGTGAGGCTCCTCAATTGGGTTGGAGGTATGAAAACTTCGTTTATGTGCCGATATCCTGGGGCCTGGTCTTTGTGGGTGAGGTATGGCACCCTGAACGCCTTAAACTCAAGTGCTCCTTGTAGCCTTCATAAATATCATGTGATAGAGGACCCTAAACCCCTAAACCCGAAACCCCTAAACTCTAAACCCTAAACCCTAAACCCTAAACCCTAAACCCTAAACCCTAAACCCCTCTACCATAAGTACTACAGATGTTAAGTGACTTCGTGGAGAAGGTCATGTTTCACCAGCGGGCAAGGACATACAAACAGCGGACAAGGTCATATGAGCGGGCAAGGTCATATGGACCTTGCCCGCTCTTCATATGACCTTGCCTTTGTGGTGCTTTACTGTAACTTTGCATCTTTAACCTTTTTGGGTTTATTGGGTTTCTTAATGAGGCAGCTAAAAATTAAATTTATAGCTACCCTGCTAAAGCAGCCAAGTTGCCAGCACTTTACATGACCTTGCCCGCTCCTTTTGTGACCTTGCCTGCTCATGGTGCCTCCTGGGACTTTTCCTGGAACCTCCGGGCCTTCTGGAAGACCCCTGTGCCCCCCACTCTTGAAACCCCAAGCTTACACCGACTTGAAAGTGTGCATTGTTAGAAGTCCTTGCTGGTTCGCGGTAATTCTCGTTGCATGTTCTTGTTCACTGCACGTTTCATGTTAGTACACGAAGATGTTATTTCTTTACGCATCCCTAAACCCCAAACCCTAAACCGCTTAGGGTTTTAGAGGATTTAGGGTCTAGCGTTAGGGTCAAGAGGTTAGGGTTTACTTGCACTGGGGAGTGTTTATACATACGTGTGAGCGTATATCTCGGATGCTCTTGCTCAGGAGATTGTTTAGGGGTTTAGGGCTTAGGGTTTCGGGTTGAGGGTTGAGGGCCAGTTTTGGGTTCAGGTTTGAGGTCCTCAATGCTGCAGGTCGACTTGCTGCAAAAGATTCCTCAGAGGCCATTCGAGCTTGCCGCTGGGTGTTCGGGGGAAGGGTTCAGGGCTTTACTGCGGGGTTTAGGGGAGGAACTTCCCTAAACTTTAGGGTCTAGGGCTTCACCCTCAACCCTAAATCTTAAAGTGCCCTAAACCCTAAACCCTAAACACCAAACCCCAAACCCTGAACCCTAAACCTGATCACCTTATGCCCTAATCACCCTATGCCCGGAACCCGGGCTTGGGTTTTGCAGACTTGGAGCTTCCCAAACCCCTTAAAACGCCAGATCTCTGGGCATCCGATGTTAGGCTTTAGGGTTTAGAGTTTAGGGTTTAGAGTTTAGGGCTTAGGTTTAGGGCACTTGAGGGCGTAGAAGTCCCTTATACGCTCCAAGAAGTCTACGCCTACATATATATATATATATGTATATATATATATATATACGTATATATATATATATGTATATATATATAGACGGTGCTTGGAATGCGTGGAATGCGTGGGGCAGGCTGAAGATCCAACTGCATGAGGAGATGTTCCGATCTGCTTTGTATGGCTTCTGGGCATGTGGTTTAGGGTTTAGGGTTTAGGGTTTAGGGTTTAGGGTTTAGGGTTTAGGGTTTAGGGTTTAGGGTTTAGGGTTTAGGGTTTTGCCTCGGAAGTCCAGGGCAGGGCTACCCTTTAAAACAGTGTGGAGAAACGGTGCCCTCGTTAGAACATGGTAAACCCTAAGCCCTAAACCATCCTTCTTACATCCCTCAGACCCCAAACCGTTTGCATCACAAGTTTCGGGTTTAGGGTTTAGGGTTTCCAGGACCCAGACTAGGCCCTCATTCCCCTTTTTGGTTCGGGCCCAGGTTCCCTTACAAGCCCCTTTAAACCAAAAGGGGCACCCTGTTTATTCCTGGGTTACTTTTGGGTCTAATGTTAGGATGCCCAGTGTTCTCCCGTCCCCGTTTTTTCGGTTAGGATCTCTTACACATAAAAACGATGATGGATAGAATCCGAACGGAGCCCAGACAGGACAAACGCCAAACAAAGTGCAACCTTTCTTTCAGCGAGCTTTCTTCCTGGAGAATCCAGGTCCAGGGTTTGGGGCCTTCAGGCTGGACTAGGGCAAATGGGGGGGCGTAGGGCTTAGGGCTAGGGTTTAGGGTTAGGGTTTAGGGTTTAGGGTTTAGGGTTTAGGGTTTAGGGTTTAGGGTTGAGGATACAGGTCGAATATCATGGGAGGGTTCTGCCTTGTGCCGCGGTAATTAGGCTGGGGCAGTGTAGGACCCCAAATTCACACGTCCAAGCTTTAAGTCCCCAAGCCCCAACCCCTAAACCCTAAACCCTAAACCCTAAACCCTAAACCCTAAACCCTAAACCCTAAGTCGCAACATCTAAGCCCCACAGCCTGACTCCCCAAGCCTAAGCCCAAGAACCGACTCTCCCAAACCACAAACCACAAACCCTAAACCCTATGCCCTAAGCCCTAAACCCTAAACCCTAAACCTTAAACCCTACCCCTGAAGCCCTCAACCCCTTGAACCTGTTGTAAGTTTGGATGCGCCAAGGCCTCCGTATATGGCCTTCCGTGGACTATCCCGACGCTGGGCCCTTCTCTTGCCAGCTTGGGTGTGTTTAGGGTTTAGGGTTTAGGGTTTAGGGTTTAGGGTTTAGGGTTTAGGGTTTAGGGTTTAGGGTTTAGGGTTTAGGTCTAGGGTGTAGGGGTTTAGGGTTTAGGGGCTAGGGGTTGAGGGTTTAGGGTTCCGGGCTTTTCGGGCTTGGGGCTCTGGGTTTTGGATTTCGAACTTATGGGCTTTTAGGGATTTGGGTTTGAGGGTGGAGTTTCGAGTTTCTTCTAGTCTTGCTGGCCTAAAACCTAAACTCTAGATTTTATATCCTGAAACCTGAATCTGGTATCCCAGTGGTACATCTTTCCCTTTTTTTTGACTGAAGGTTCCCTTTATAAAGTAGCCAACCCAATATTTCAATAGGGTTACTGGGCTACCAAGTGATCGCTGAATCTTAAACCCAAGGAAAACCCCCCCCTAAACCCTAAATCCTAAATCCTAAACCCTAAATCCCCAACCCTAAATCCTAAACCCTAAATCCTAAACCCTAAACCCTAAATCCTAAACCCTAAAACCCTAAATCCAAGGACAACCACTTTTTCTACAGCCACCTTTGTCACAGCGCCATGACCGAACACGTTGCCACACCGACCCAGGCAAGCCTCCCTGCAGCGGGGAGGGAGGGGGGGGGGGGGGGGTTAGGGTTTAGGGTTAAGGGTTTAGGGTTTAGGGTTAAGGGCTAAGGATTGAGGGTTTAGGATTTAGGGCTTTGGGTTTGGGGTTTAGGGTTCAGGGTTTAGGGCTTAAAGGACACTAAACTTTCTTATGGTCCATGTACCCTTGTGGCAATGAGGATTGGAGTAGCACAGGGCCAAGGAAGTTTCACCATTGCCTCCCAATGAGTGCTTTTTGGAATGGCACGCCAGGGCCAGGGCACCCTAGGGTTTAGGGTTTAGGGTTTAGGGGCGGATGGCAAGCAATGACCGTTTAAGACTCTAAGGCCCCAAAAGGCCTGAAACTTCTGAGGCCAAGCTAAACTCTAAGAGTAGTTTCATGCTCCCTTATTGCGGTCCCTTACCGGCTTTAAAGGGTTCTGAAGTACGAGCGTCTGGGTTGTCTAGGGCCTATAAGGGATCAAACCCCAAACCCCAAACCCCAAACCCCAAACCCCAAACCCCAAACCCCAAACCCCAAACCCCAAACCCCAAACCCCAAACCCCAAACCCCAAACCCCAAACCCCAAACCCTAAACCCTAAACCCTAAACCCTGCTCGGAAGGATGCCTACATCCCGGGGACGGACTGCCCACACGCGCGGGGCCTCAGGAATTCCGAAGTTTTCCATCCTCGAGACCAAGAAAACCCCTGAACCCTAAACCCCAAGCCCTAAACCCTATACCCTAAACCCTAAACCCTAAACCCTAAACCCTAAACCCTAAACCCTAAACCCTAAACCCTAAACCCTAAACCCTAAACCCTGAACCCTGAACCCTGAACCCTGAACCCTGAACCCTAAACCCTAAACCCTAAACCCCAACCCTAAGCCCTAAACCCTAAGCCCTCGGTTTATTGGGGTTACTTAGGGTTTAGGGAGTCTGGGCTCCCGGAGCTCATGAGAAAACACGGGGTTTAGGGCCCTAAACGCTAGAAGCCTCCCGAAGCCTGAAACCCCAGAAAAACCCGAAGCAACTCCTGACGTCTACACTATGCCCTAAACCCTAAACCCTAAACCCTAAACCCTAAACCCTAAACCCTAAACCCTAAACCTTTATGAGGTCTACATCATCGACGCCGGCACGATGAGCTACTTCTGCCGCGGGCGCTCGCAGCAGCGCAAGGCCGTCGCCGAAGGCCGAGTGGTGATACTAACCCAGGGATGCCACACGCCCAGCCCTATAGGGGTCTTGAGGGCCTAAACCCTAGCCCTAAACCCTAGCCCTAAACCCTAAATCCTAGACCCTACACCCTAAACCCTAGCCCTGAACCCTAAAACCCTAGGGCCTTCAGGAGGGCGTTGGGCTTTTAGGGCTTTAGGGCTTCGGGCTCTCGGGCTTCAGGAGATTTAGGGTTTAGGGTTTAGGGTTTAGGGTTTAGGGTTTAGGGTTTAGGGTTTAGGGTTTAGGGTTTAGGGTTTAGGCTTTCAGGGTTTGGGGTTTAGGGTTCAGGGTTTAGGGTTTAGGGTTTAGGCTTTCAGGGTTGGTGGGCACCAGGGTTTAAGGATGGTAGGTTTGTTTGGTGCAAGGTTTAGGGGTTCGGGCTTCGGGGTTTTTAAGGGCCTCAGGCTTTGAGGGTGGTAGGTTTGTTTGGTGTAGGGTTTAGGCGTTAGGATTTCAAGGTTTAAGGGCCTCAGGGTTTGAGGGTGGTAGTTGTTTTTGAGTTTGGGGCTTTAGGGTTTTCGTGTTCACGGGCCTCAACGTGGTAGGTCGATAGGTTTTTGGATTTTGGGGCTTCAGGGTTTAAGGGCTCAGGGTTTTAGGGTGGTAGGGTTTTTTTGTTGGTGATTTTGGGGCTTTAGGGCTTTGGGGTTTTAGGGTGGTAGTGTTTCTTTTGTGATTTGGGGGGCTGTAGGGTTTCAGGGTGTAAGCGCCAA